AACCCTCAGTTTGTTTCCTACAATTAAGAATTCCTCATATCAGTGAGATCATATGATACATGTCTTTCTCTGTTTGACTTATTTCACTCAACATAATACTGAGGACTCTGTTTTAATTAAAACACATGGGTGTGTGTTTTAATTAAATTTAAGATAATTGTAGCTTCACATGCAGTTGTAAGAAAGATTTTATGTATTCCTTACCAGTTTCCTGCACTGGTAATCTCATGCAAAACTGTAGTACAGTATCCAGCCTGGATATTGACTTTGATATAGTCAAGATTCAAAACATTTCCATCTCATGTTGCCCTTGGATAGCCACATCCATTTCCTTCCCATCCATATCTACTCCTTAACACTTGGCAACCACTAATCTATTCCCCATTTCTATAGTTTGTCATTTCAAGGATGTTACATAAATGGAATCCATTTCCATCAAATGGAAAAATGTTTTTTTTTTTTTTACTCAGCATAATTCTCAGGAGATTGATACAGGTTGTTACATATATCAGTAGGGTTTTTTTTTTTTTTTTTAAGATTTTATTTATTTGACAGAGAGAGACACAGCGAGAGAGGGACTATAAGCAGGGGGAGTGGGAGAGGGAGAAGCAGGCCTCCCGCTGAGCAGGGAGCCCGATGCGGGGCTCGATCCCAGGACCCCGGGATCATGACCTGAATGCTTAAGACTGAGCCACCCAGGCGCCCCTGTGGTTTTTTTGTTTTGTTTTTTTGTTTTTTAACTGAGAAGTACATCATTGATATGGGTATATCATAGTTTATTTTATTTTATTTTAAGATTTTATTTATTTATTTGACAGAGAGAGACAGTGAGAGAGGGAACACAGGCAGGGGGAGTGGGAGAGGGAGACCTGAGCTGAAGGCAGACACGTAACGACTGAGCCACGCAGGTGCCCTCTTCATGTTTTTTAACCTATATTCTGATTAGATTGTTTACTTTTTTTACCTTTGAGTTTTGAGATTTCTATATATAGATACTAGTCCTTTATTAGATATGTAGTTTGCAAATATTTTCTCCCAGTCTATATCTTTTTATCCTCTTTAACAGAGTCTTTCACAGATCAAAAGTTTTAAATACTGATGAAGTCCAGTTGATCAGTTTTTCCCTTTTATGGATTGTTTCTGGTATTAGGTCTGAGACAGAAGAATTCTTTTTCTAGCTTCAGATCCCAAAATTTTCTTTCCAAAATAATTTAGTTTTTTGTTTTACATTTAAATCTGTGATTTTTTTTGGAAAGATTAATTAATTAATTATTTATTATTTAGTTTAGAGAGAGAGAGAGTCTCAAGCAGACTCCACACTGAGCGGGGAGCCCAATGGGGGCCTTGATCCCATGACCCCAAGATCATGACCTGAGCCAAAACCAAGACTGCTCAACTGACTGTGCCACCCAGGAACCCCAACTCTGTGATCTATTTTGAATTAATTTTTGTGTAATGAATGGGACTTAGATCAGAGTTTTTTTTGCTGATAGATGTCCAGGTGCTCTGGAACCTTTTGTTGAAAAGCCATCTTTCCTCTTTTGAATTCCTTTTGTACCTTTGTCCGAATTCAGTTGGGCATATTTATGTTGGTCTGTTTCTGTGTTCTTTATATTCTGTTCCACTGATCTGTGTGTCTGTCTTTCCACCAATACCATAGTCTTGGTTACTGTAGCTATATAGTGTCTTGAAATTGGGTAGACTGGTTCCTCCCGTTTTTTTTTTCTCCTAGTTTATTTTTATAAAAACAGTTTTTAGCTTTTCTAGTTCCTTTGCCTTTCCATATAAATTTTAGAATAGTCTTATCTATATTTACCATATAATTGTATTCAAAAATCTATATTTAAATATCTTGCTGAGATTTTAATAGGAACTATGTTAAACCTCTATATCATTTTCAAGAGAATTGACATCTTTCCCATGTTGAGTCTTCCAATCTATGAACTTACGTAGTTTTCAGCATAGATTCTACACATGCTTTTATTAGATTTGCATCTACTTGAGGGGCTCCTGGGTGGCTCAGTCATTAAACGTCTGCCTTCAGCTCAGGTCATGATCCCAGGGTCCTGGGATCCAGCCCCACATCGGGCTCCCTGCTCCACAGGAAGCCTGCTTCTCCCTCTCCCATTCCCCCTGCTTGTATTCCCTCTCTCTCTGTTTCTCTCTCTGTCAAATAAATAAATTAAAAAAAAAAAATTTGCATCTACCTGATTTTTTTTTTGAGTAATTGTAAATTTTATTTCAATGTCTTTATGTTCATTGTTACTATATAGAATTGAATTTTGGATGTTTGTCTTTAGTCTCTGACCTTGCTGAGCTCATTTATTAGTTTTAGGAGTGTGTTGTTGTTGTTACATTCCATAGGATATTCTTTGTAGACATTACTGTCATCTATAAGTAGGGACAGTTTTATTTTTTCATTTCCAATCTATGCCTTTTATTTCCTTTTGTTGCCTTATATGTTCCAACACTGTGTTGAATATGATGGGTGGGAGCAGACATACTTGCCTTGTTTTTCCTCTGTTCCTATCTTAAGGGGAACACATTCAGTCTTAAATAATTAAGTGTAATACTAGCTGCTGGCTTTTTATAGATGCTCTTTATGAAGTTGAGGAAGTACCTTATTTTTTGAGAGTTTGGGTATTGGTTTTTTCAAATGCTTTTTCTGCATCTGTTGATAGGATCCTGTGATTTTTCTTCTTTAGCAACTTTGGTGGATTAAATTGATTGCATTTTGAATATTGAACCAGCTTTGCATCCTTGGAGTAAACCCCATTTGGTCATGCTGTATAACTCTTTTTATATATTGCTGGATCCTATTTGGTAATGTTAAGGATTTTTGTGTCTGTGTTCATGAGGGATGTTGTTTTGTAGTTTTTTTGGTATCTTCATTGTCTGATTATAGTATCAGAGTGATAATTAGCTTCATAAAATGAACTGGGAATTAGTCCCTCTCCTGTTTTTCTGGAAGACTGTTTAGAATTGGTGTTAATTCTTCTTTAAATGTTTTGTAGAATTTCCTAGTGAAAACATCTGGGGACTTCTTTTTTGGGATTTTTTTTAAAGTAGGCTCTATGCCCAACATGGGCCAGGCTTGAACTCATGACCTTGAGATCAACAGTCACATGTTCTGCCCACTGAGTCAGACAGATGCCCTGTTTTTTTGGAATTTTAAAATTACAAATTCAATATCCCTAATAGTTACAGGGGCTATTTAAATTCCTGATTTAATATGGGTTGATTTGGTAGTTTGTGTTTTTTGATGAATTCATCCATTTCATCTAAGATGTCAAATCTATGTGTTATTTGGAGTATTCCCTTATTCTTTTTTTTTTTTTTAAAGATTTTATTTATTTATTTGAGAGAGAGAGAATGAGAGACAGATAGCAAGAGAGGGAAGAGGGTCAGAGGGAGAAGCAGACCCCCCGCTGAGCAGGGAGCCCGATGTGGGACTCGATCCCGGGACTCCAGGATCATGACCTGAGCTGAAGGTAGTCGCTTAACCAACTGAGCCACCCAGGCCCCCTCCCTTATTCTTTTTGATGTTTGCAGGTTCTGTAGTAATAGCCCCTGTTTTATTCCAGATGTTGGTCACTTGTTCATTTCTCTTTTGTCATTGTCAGTCTTGCTACAGATTTGTTAATTTTATTGATCTCTTAAAAGAATCAGCTTTGTTTCATTGATTTTTTTCACTATTTTTTTGTTTTCAGTCTCATTGAGTTCTGCTCTTCTTTCTTTCCTTCTTAGGGTTTATTTTGCTTTTCTTTTTCTAGGGTCTTGAGGTGGGTGCTTACAGTATTGATTTGAAAGACTTTTTTTTCTAATGTAAGCATTTCGTACCATAAATTTCTCTTTCAGCACTTCTTTGACTGTGGTACCACAAATTTTGATACATATATTTTCATTTTCATTCAGTTTAGTGTATTTTTTTTTTTTAAAGATTTTATTTATTTGGCAGAGAGAGAGAGGAGGAGAGAGAGCACGCGCACAAGCAGGGGGAGCGGCAGGCAGAGAGAGAAGCAGGCTCCCCACTGAGCAAGGAGCCTGATGCGGTGCTTGATCCCAGAATCCTGGGATCATGACTTGACCTGAGGGCAGCCCCTTAACCGACTGAGCCACCCAGGTGCCCCCCCCGGGGCCTTTTTTTTAAAGAGAGAGAGGTGAGGGGGTTGCAGAGGGAGAGGTAAAAAGAATCTTAAGCAGGCTCCATGCACAGCATGTGATCTTGACGCGGGGATTGAGCTCACAACCCTGAGATCATGACCTGAGCCAAAATCAAGAGTTGGACACTTAACTAATTGAGCCACCCAGGCACCCCCCAGTTCAGTGTATTTTTTTTTATTCTCATGAGACCTCCACTTTTGAAAAATATGTATTTAAGTAATCTCTACACCCAAGTGGGGCTCAAACTCATGATCCTGAGATCAAGAGTTGTATGCTCGGGGCGCCTGGGTGGCTCAGTCATTAAGCGTCTGCCTTCGGCTCAGGTCATGATCCCAGGGTCCTAGGATGGAGCCCTGTGTCAGGCTCCCTGCTCAGTGGGAAGCCTGCTTCTCCCTCTCCCACTCCCCCTGCTTGTGTTCCCTCTCTCGCTAGTGTCTCTCTCTGTCAAATAAATAAATTCTTAAAAAAAAAAAGAGTTGTATGCTCTTCTGCCTGAGCTAGCCAGGCCCCCAAGAGACTTCCACTTTTACTTGTGGTTAATTTGGAAGTGTGTTTAGTTTCCAAGTGTTTGGTTCCCTGTTATCTTTCTGTTAACGATTTCTGGCTTGATTTTATTGTGGTTGAAAAACACACGATATATAATTTCAATTCTTAAAAATGTATTGAGATTGGGCGCCTGGGTGGCTCAGCTGGTTAAGCGACTGCCTTCAGCTCAGGTCATGATCCTGGGGTCCTGGGATCGAGTCCCACGTCGGGCTCCCGGCTCAGCGGGGAGCCTGCTTCTCCCTCTGACCGTCTCCCCTCTCATGCTGTTTCTCTCTCTCTCTCTCTCTCTCTCTCTCAAATAAATAAATAAATAAATAAATCTTTAAAAAAAAATGTATTGAGATTTATTTCTGGCCCAGAATATAGTTCTTTTTGCTGTATGTTCTTTGGGTACTTGAAAAGAATGTGTATTTTGCTGTCCTTGGACCGTTCTATAAATATCAATTGGACCTTGTTGATTGATGGTTTTGTTGAGCTCTATAATCTTGTTGGTTTTCTGTCTAGTTCTGTCAGTTGTCATGAGAATGGTGTTGAAGTCTTCAGCTGTAATTGGGGATTTCTCTGTCTTTTCAGTTTTATTAGATTTTGCTTCACATATTTTTACAGCTTTGGTGCATACACTTTTACGATTGCTGTGTCTTCTTGTGGATTGGTGGATTGACTCTTTATTGATATATAATATCCCTCTCTGTCTCTGGTAATTTTCTTTGCTCTGAAGTCTGCTTTATCAAATACTAATATAGCCACTCTAGTCTTTTTGTTTGTTTGTTTAATGCTTGCATGATACATCTTTTTCTATCCTTTTATTTTCAACCTGCCTATATTATATTTGAAATGACTTTCTTGTAGATAGCATATAATTGTTGTACATATTGAGTCATGTTTTTTGTTACTGGCTGCTTCTGCTCCAAATCTGGGATACATGAGGTAAAATGAAAAGTCAGGGAATTCACCACTATGTGTTTTCTTAGGCCCCAAGGTTCTAGCCAGTCTGCCTTCTCCCTACTCTTCAGAGTCTTCTTTTGTATATAATGTGTAGGGTTTTTTGTTGAATTTAGCAGGAGGAGCAGGGATAAGTACATCTATTCCGTCTTCCCAGAATTGGACATTCTAGGGATTTGTTTTATTTAGTATTGTATTCCCACTGCCTAGACCCATATAATTGGTGTTCAGTAAATAGTTGCTGTATGAATTAATTAATGGTTATGGATCAGAGTGCATTTGTTAATTTTATGTATAAAATATTTGATTTTTAATTGTAAAAACATCTAGAGAATGTCGTTGCGCCCCTGCCTCCAGCCAGATTTAGTCATACCTGGGTAAATCAATTGTGAATTATCTTAATTTAATAGATTATTATTTATACTTTACTAACCTTTAATAATCTGGCAGAAAATGAAAATTAGAGGAAAGCATATTTAGCCTTACATGTTTATATTCTTTATGCCTTAGTAATATAAAGTAACAAACATACTCTTCTCAGTTTTATTATACATTTCTGATAAATGAATTTGTAGAGATTGAGATGTAGACATTTATGCTCCTTAAAATAATTAAAGCCCCACAGAGAATTTGGGATGTATAGACAGAAGTCTTATTTCAAAATAATTTCTGTTGTATTTTATTAGTTAGAAGCCTATTTTTACTACCTTTGGAGATGGATTAAATTAAAATATTGTACAAAATATTTGACAGGTGTCACCTGAACAAGGTGTACCTCTGGATAAGGATCAGATTCAGGAAATATTTTTTTCCTTTTCAGTCTGAAAGAATTTTTATTGCCCTTCTGTTTAATTGGTACTATTATAGGTCCCTTCAATAATCAGGAGATGGCGGAATGGTTTCAGGCCGGCTATTTTACTATGTCTTTATTGGTGAAGAGAGCATGTGATGAAAGCTTCCAACCTCTTGGTGATATCATGAAAATGTGGGGAAGGGTTCCCTTCTCTCCCGGTCCAGCTCCCCCTCCTCATATGGTAAGTACCTTATAGCTCATCCAGAACACATACTAGTTGCAGAAACCCTTGCTTCTCTTTGTAAACACAACCCAGATGTTGCATCTAATGAGGAAGAAACTGTACTTTTTTAAAGTAATTGAAATGGCAATGGGCAGTCTGGATTGTAGACTGCATACCTAGCTATAACGATCTTTTCAAAATTCAAATACCTGTGTTCAACCCCACTCCCCCCACCTCCCCATCCCCCCCACCCCTAAATTCTAAAGAAACAAAATCCTTCAGTAGCTTCCCAGCAGGTATAGAATAAAAAACAACATCTTATCCTGTTTTGCCTATCAGGTCCTACATATTCTGGCTCCTTATTTTTCTAAGCTCACTTCGAGCTTTTAACTTTATCTGCTGTGCTTCAATTAAGTTGACTTTTTTGAGTTCCTTTTTGCCTCTAATTAGAATGCACATTCTCCTCTCCTCCCCTTCCCTTACCTCTTTTTGCCTTTTGCTTTCTGACTCATAAAGTTCCTAAATTATAGGTTTACCTTTTTTTTTTTTTTAAGATTTTATTTATTTATTTGAGAGAGAGAATGAGAGAGAGCACATGAGAGGGGGGAGGGTCAGAGGGAGAAGCAGACTCCCTGCCAAGCAGGGAGCCCGATGCAGGACTCGATCCAGGGACTCCAGGATCATGACCTGAGCCGAAGGCAGTCACTTAACCAACTGAGCCACCCAGGTGCCCCTGTAGGTTTACCTTAAAGCAAATAAATGTTACTAATAAAAAATTCTAGTGCTTTGGAGTATTTTGAATTGAATATGTTTTTTGTTTTTTTTTTAATATAAGTTACTGGCATTTTAACTAAAAATTGGATCACAGTGTAACCTCCCTTGTACACTGACACTGGAATACCTTTGAAGGGGAAATCTTACTCCTCTGCAGCTGCCTCTAGGCCTCTCCCTATAGAGTTCCCTTTGGAGGGCTTTGGTTGGGTGCCTTACTTTTCCTTCTTCAGGTTGGAGTGTTGGGTGGCTGCTATAGTCAGAAGTGGCCATAGCCAGACACCTTTAGTGTGAACACTGGGTCACTGCAGCAGCAGCCACCATTGATTTATTCATCAGCTACATAGTTAAGGCCTGTGCTAGGCCTTCTGGTAGGTTCTTATGCTATCAAGGTAAATAGGACACAAACTCTCTTATGGTCATACGGGTTCATAGGTAAGAACAGTGGCCATCAAACTTGTTTGGCCACAGCCTGTAGTAAAATAAGTGAGTTTTACATCACTACTCTGTACATTCATAACTGTATGTGTATATTTGTGAAACAAGTTTCACAAAGCATTTTGTGCCATGCACATATTTTCTTCCCTCCCTTCCTCCCTTTCCATATAAATGTTGATCTTGACCCAGTAATTGATGTCACAATCCACTGATGGGTTGAGACCTTGTATAATTTGGAGAACAGTGATGATTCCTAGGTGAGGGGAATTATTTCTGACATTTCTGTTATAAATCCAAAGAAAAATGAATTGTGTATTCTTGTATAAACATTTAACTTCTATACCAAGTTTGAGCGCTATTTCCCTTTTCTGAAATTGGGATGGGTTATCGTGCATGTTTCAGAGCTGAAAGTTCATCCCTTGGAGCTTGTCATGTTTGCCCTAGCCCATTTCCTGACTTCTAGTTATAGGGGCTGAGCCTCAGTTATGGGAAGAACCATGGCAAGCTCTGCTTCTGTCAGCTGTTATTGCTGTTGCCCTGAATAGCACTGATAAGAAGAGAGTTCACCTTGATGATGAATATACCTTGAAATGTAGTTTTGTTTTTTTTTTTAAGATTTTATTTATTTATTTGAGAGAGAGACAGCACAAGTGGGGTGAGGGTCAGAGAGAGAAGCAGACTCCTTGCTGAGCAGGGAGCACAAAGTGGGACTTGATCCCAGGACTCCAGGGTCACGACCTGAGCCGAAGGCTTAAGGACTGAACCACGCAGGCACCCGAAATGTAGAAATTTTATTTATTTATTTATTTATTTTTTAAAGATTTTATTTATTTATTCATGAGAGACAGAGAGAGAGAGAGGCAGAGGGAGAAGCAGGCTCCCAAGGAGCAGGG